TCTCTATGTTAGTTGATGTAAAGAAGAATCTGGAAGACTGTAAATCAAACCACTGAAGTACTTGTATATGGGAAGTGGTGATGAAGACACTGTCTTTGGCCAACTTGAGTCAGGCTACTCTGAGCCTGTCCTCGGGCATGGCCTCCAGGACAGGCCCACATGTAGCAAGATCCTCACCCTTGATGTCTGATCACCCTCGTTATCTGATCGGGTGTCTCCACCATCCCCCGAGGCGGTGTCTGGTCACCCTGACCTGCACTCAGCAAGAGTCCTCTTAGGTTGATATGACCAGATCCCCCCCTTACCCTGATGTTTCCTCTTAGTGATTCTCCATCCACTGATGCCCACACCCCACCTCTGCTTCTTCACTATAAATCCCCACTCTTCCTTCTGTATCTGGAGTTGAGCCCAGTCTCTCTCCCCTTCAGCAGTGGCCCCTACACCTATCATGATTGTTCTGAGTAACGTCTGCCGTACTGTCTTTTTTTGGGGGGGCGGGGGGGGGGGGCACAGCTCACAGCTTGTGGGATCTTAGTTCCCCAACCAGAGATTGAACCGGGGCCTCCTGCAGTGGAAGCACTGAGTCCTAACCACCAGACCACCAGGGAAGTTCCTGCCTTACTGTCTTGACCAGTGTCATGAGTGATTATTTCTTTAACAGCAAGAATAGCTATGATTCTCCATCCCTAAATTATATATCCTTACAATGCTGACATTTTCCACACAGATCAGTGCTACTATTTTTCTGAAGCAGCACCCTCGTGGCATGATATCATATGCGGTAAAATATACCTACGCGAGTGCCCGGCTCAGTACCTTCTAGTGCTTTTGCAGAGTTGTGCCGCCATGACCAGAATCCAGCTCTAGACTGTTTCCGTCAGACCCCCGCCCCCCAGAAAAGTTCCCTGGGGCTCATCCCCAGTCCCCTTCACTCCCATCTCCATCTCGAGCCGCCACTCATCTGTCTGAATGGGTTTGCCTCTTCAGGAAATTCCATATAAATGGAATTGAACAATATGTGGCCTTTTGTGTCCGTCTTCTTTCATTGAATGACGTTTTTTTCCCCCCCCCCATTTATTTATTTAAACGTTATGGAGTGTGGTTGATTTACAATGTTGTGTTAGTTTCAGGTGCACAGCAGAGTGGTTCAGTTATGCATCTACATGTATCCACTCTTTTTCAGATTCTTTCCCCTTATAGGTTATTACAGAGTACTGAGTAGAGTTCCCTGTGCTACGCAGTGGGTCCTTGTTGATTATCTATCCTATATATAGTAGTGGTGTGTGTCTGTTAATCCCAAGCTCCTGACTTATCCTATCCCTTCCCCCCATTTTTCCCTTTGGTAACCCTAAGTTTGTTTTCAATATCTCTAAGTCTGTTTCTGTTTTGTAAATAAGTTCATTTGTATCAGTTTTTTAAAAAAATTAGATTCCACATATGAGTGTATCATATATTTGTCTTTCTATGACTTACTTCATTTAGTATGATAATCTCTAGGTCCATCCAGGTTGCTGCAAATGGCATTATTTTGTTCTTTTTTATGGCTGAGTAATATTCCATTGTATATATGTGCCACATCTTCTTTATCCATTCCTCTGTCGATGGACATTTAGGGTGCTTCCATGTCTTGGCTATTGTAAATACTACTGCTATGAACGTAGGAGTGCAGGCATCTTCTCAAATTATGATTTTCTCCAGATACCTGCCCAGGAGTGGGATTGTGGGATCATATGGTAGTTCTATTTTTAGTTTTTTAAGGAACCTCCGTACTGTTCTCCATAGTGACTTTATCAGTTTACATTCCCACCAGCAGTGCAAGAGGGTTCCCTTTTCTCCACACCCTCTCCAGCATTTGTTTGTAGACTTTTTGATGATGGCCATTCTGCCCAGTCTGAGGTGATACTTCAGTGTAGTTTTGATTTGCATTTCTCTGATAATTAGCGATGTTGAGAATCTTTTCATATGCTTTTTGGCCATCTGTATGTCTTCTTTGGAGAAATGTCTATTTAGATCTCCTGCTCATTTTCTGACTTGGTTGTTTATTTTTTTGACATAGAGCTGTATGAGCTATCTGTGTATCTTGGAGATTGATCCCGTGTTGGTCGCTTCATTTGCAAATATTTTCTCGTATTCTGTGAGTTGTCTGTGTTGTTAATTTACGCTGTACAGCAAAATGATTCAGTTATACATATATTTTTTCATTTTCTTTTCCATGATGGTTTATCTCAGGATACTGAACATAGTTCCCTGTGCTCTACAGTTGGACCTTGTTGTTTACCCATCCTATATATAATAGTTTGCGTCTGCTAATCCCCAACCCCCAGTCCTTGAATGATGATGTTTCTGAGGTCCATGCATGTCGCCGTGTGGACCAGTGCTTTGTTCACTTTGCTGTTGGATAGTATTTCATTGTGTGGATGTACCACGTTTTGTTTATCTGTTTCTCAGCCAATGGACAGGTGGGCTGTTCACAGGTTTGGGTTATTATCAGTGATGCTGCCGTGAACATTTGTGTACTACAAGTCTCTGTGTAGACAGTGTTACTTTTTTTTTTTTTTTTTTTGCGGTACGCGGGCATCTCACTGTTGCGGCCCCTCCTGTTGCAGAGCACAGGCTCCAGACGCGCAGGCTCAGTGGCCATGACTCACAGGCCCAGCCGCTCCACGGCATGTGGGATCTTCCCGGACTGGGGCACGAACCCGTGTCCCCTGCATTGGCAGGCGGACTCTCAACCACTGCGCCACCAGGGAAGCCCAGACAGTGTTACTTTTATAATCAGAAGGCAAGAAAAACAAAAGTGAAGGGCCAAAACGGATTCTCAAGCTGTTTCTGGAGTGCATCTCCTTTTACCAGAATGGGAGCTCTGCCACAAGTGGGGCTGAAGTTTTAAAATAAGGAGAGAATGAAGCGGGCTCCTGAGCAGTCTTTGACCCTGACCCGGGCACAGCCCGAGGACGACACATTGGGGCAATGGCTCCTGTCCTTTGGAACCTGCTTGTATTTCTGCGGGAATTTTTATTAAAAACAGTTGGTGTTTTCTTCATTTGCTGCTTTTGAACTCAAGGACTTTTAAAGAGGGGAACGGATATCTGGGTGGAGACAAGATGTCACGTGTGTCCTGAGGCTCTGGAGAGGGAGCGGGGAGGCCACAACAGTGAGAGGCCCGCGTACCGCAAAAAAAAAAAAAAAAAATTACCCAGATGGTTTGCCTTGGAGTGGCACCGGAGAAGGGGTGCAGCCCAGGTGGTTGAGTTGTTGAGATTTAGCATGTCATATGTTCAGGTGGGGTCCTTTCCCAGGATGCAAAGGTCATGTCCTGCTACGAAGGGAAAAGGATCACAAAGCCACATACGAGAGGATCTAGTCCTGCGGGCCAGAGAGAGAGTTGGGAACAGCTCAAGAAAAGAGGCGAGAAGTAATTATGAAATGCAAGACAGGGTTCCCTGTTTACAGAGAAGAGGCGAGAGGCAGACAGAGCACAGCGCTGGGGGACAGTGTTTGGTACCAGTGGATGTACGCGGTTTTAAAGCATTTGGGACAGTTCGGGGTAATGGGTATTGCCGATGACTCTGTGTTATTCATCACACCTACAGCAGGCTGTCCTCTGGAAGTTCTTATCACAGCCCTGGTTACTTTCTGTGCATCTAAGGATCCAGGTGATTTCCTTGGACGGTCACGACGCAGGCAGCCCTGCCTCTCTGACACTCACTGGTTGTCCTCCTGGCTCTGTGCGCCCCCCTCTGCTCCTCTTTGCCTACTACCCATGGGACACACAGTCTGAACCCCTCTCTCTACTTTTCCTTCTACATGTTTTCTTTGGAAGGTTCCACTTGCTTGGGTCGAACCTGTCATTTCTAGGTGCGTGACTGTGTTCCTTAACGTCAACTCTCTTGCTTTCCTAAGTCCACTGCCATGACGGTAACATTGGTAGCAGTGGGGATCTAGCCCTCCTCGCCAAGAATCAATCCTGGGAGGTGGGCAGTTATAGGATTGATTTCTTTTCCTTAAAAAGAGATCGAGGTGGGACAGTTCCATGCCTGCCCAATGTCACACAGTCATCAAGTGGTAGGGCCAGAGCAGGTAGAGACCCCTGACCCGGCACAGTCCTGGGGCATGGCGGGGGTTGGTGCTCACGAGTCAGCGACGGAGTTTAAGGAAATTCTGTGATCGATGTGTGAACTAAGACCAAGGCGGGTGGTGGTAACTCACAGCGGGCTCTGTGGTCTTTGTTCAAAACCAGGGATTTGGGGTTTGACTGACTGACTGAAGTACAGTTGATTTACAGTGTTGTGCTAGTTTCAGGTGTACAGCAAAGTGAGTCGGTTATATATATTCTTTTTCTTTTTATTGGGGTGTAGTTGCTTTACAATGTTGTGTTAGTTTCTTTTTCAAATTTTTTTCCCTTGGACCTAGGAGTTTAAGAACATAAGAGCTGGTGAGGAGTTTTTTTTTGTTTTGTTTTTTTGTTTTTTTTTTTTGGCGGTACGCGGGGCCCCTCACTGCTGCGGCCTCTCCCGTTGCGGAGCACAGGCTCCGGACGCGCAGGCTCAGCGGCCGTGGCTCACGGGCCCAGCCGCTCCGCGGCACGTGGGATCTTCCCGGACCGGGGCACGAACCCGTGTCCCCTGCATCGGCAGGCTCAACCACTGCGCCACCAAGGAAGCCCTGGTGAGGAGTTTTTAACGCTTTCTAAATGCCTTGTGTCTGCAATGTTTTAAAAAAGGCACTGAGCTCTTGAATTTGAGATGCAGCTACAGTTGAGGGTAAAGGGCTTCTGTTGAATGATGACTTGCAAAAATACGTTCTTCGGTGTAGGACTTACAGCTTACTTTACGGGCCGAATGTCTGTCTATTTAGCCTTATAGCCTCGTATTACATCTTGCCCTGAGCTAAATTAAGAGTTTCGGCAGTTAATACTGAATCGTGGAATATTGGTACTAGGTTAACATTTACAAAAAAATATTTTTCAGAAAGGAACTCAGTGTGAACTAATCAATTCATAGTCGTGTTTATTCTGAAGCTTTTATTTTGGAGTCTTCCATCGCCGAATGACACATTTAATTTTTACAACAGGTATTAGAAATTGAGATTCTTTTTAAAATTTCTACCATTTCAGCGTAGAATTGTAGATGATGTTCCAAACCATCGTCAAAAACTGCAGAGCAAACTCTTCTGTATATAAACTGTACATAATACAAGGCACTATACATTCGGGGGCGATATTAAGGTAGAAAGGTGGATTTGCACAGATTCTTAAGAGCCTGTGCCTGGAAGTATAAATTCTTTGTTCATCTTAGCACCGGAAGCAGCACTCAGAACGAGTCCAACTTAACGCTGAAGGAGGCGCCTCTGAACGTGGGTGAAGGTACGCGTTGGTGGCAGAACTAATTCAACAGAAGCAACTACCTTTTAATATTATTTTGACACGAGAAAAACCCTTAAAAGTGAATGAATACGTATTGCTTTGTTAAATACATATTTGATTTATACGGTGTTTATATAAATATATATATATTTAGAATCCACAAACTATCAAAATAACAATTTATAAAGGGAGCCGCTTAAAAAGTAATAATAATAACAGGCAGCGCTTAGCAGGACCAGGAGGGCAGTGCCGTGGCCTTCGCTAAGGACCCCCTGCGTGAGCGCGCGTGGGGCTGCGGATGCCTTATAAACATCGTCTGCTCAATCGTGGAAGGTGTGTTTCCAGAGAGTTTTCTGGAACATTTACAAAATGCACAACTCCCAAACAAGCAGGAGAGCTGATTGCTTCAGGTCTCGAAAACGCAGATGTAAAAATATTTTTTAAAGGACTAGCCATACCCCGCTTCCAAAAACAAAACACATCCATTTTCCTGGTCCAACAGTATTGAAAGTGACAACAGAGGTTTCCTCCAGCATCTCATGACTCAGAACAGACCTTTTGCTTTCTTCAGGTTCACCTGCTTCCAGGCAGGCAGTGCATTGTATTCGTCTCGGGTCATGTCTAGTGCAAACTGGAAGGAGGGAAAGAAACGCCCTGAGTGAAAGGACCCTCCGACAAGCCACGCATGCTGTGTTCAAATGCTGTCCCACCTGAAGAAGCGCTTACCTCGAAGTCCTCGTCGGTGAGATAAATCTCCAGCTTCAGAGGGTCAACTCCCTCGGGCAGGGGCCTGGCTAGGAGGTCGGCCAGTGGATAAATGGTTTTGCACAGCTTGGCTAAGACATCCTCCACCAGGGTGATCTGATTTGAAACTTCCGTGTCCTGGAGAAGAGGAGGGGGCAGAGAGGGGGGACCTCCGTGTCCCACATCTGAACACGTTTCATCCTGTGCCTGAAAATATGCCCCCCCCCGGCCCACCTGCCCCGCAGCCTGGAGACCCCGCTCAGGGAGATGAGGCTCTGAGATGCCATCTCACCCTGCACGGCATTTCAGAGACATCAGGAAAAAGTTTAGGGACTATCACACGAGTGAATTAGCCAGAAGATGATTAAATGTGAAGTTGAAACGCTGGAAGCATGCAAAGAATGGAACTTGTTTACAAATATTTAAAAACAGTTAACCTTAAAAGGAATCACCCCCCTCCACCCCCTCAGACCCCATCTCTTAATCAACAGAAAAAGGAGGTAAGAAAATGCATCTAGAATTTGCTGGGGCTGAATTGAGGTCTTTTTTGTTTTTAAACCACTGTGTGCATTTCATCTGAACAGGTTATTCCGGGTGAACGCTCTTCCTCTGTTAAACCTGGGACCCCCCCCCCCCCCAGTGGGCCACCTCCTTTGGGTGGAGGTGTGTGTGGGGAATGATGTGAATTCAGCTGCACACAGACCAGGGATCGGGGGCGAGTGGCGGAGGGAACGCGTCAGAGATCGGGGCGAGCTTCTCCGCGTGTCCATGCCTCGGCTAGTTCGCCGGTGAAATGGGATAAGAAGCAGCTGGATCTTAGTGGACCCTTGTGAAAATTAAAGGCGAAGCTAAGTGTGGTGTTCGGAGCAGTGCCTGGCACAGAGCGGCCCTTAGTGAATTCTCATCACGACTTGCCCGACGGCAGACTGGCCGATGGCCCGCAGGCTGTACAGGCCTCCCCAGAGCCCCCCGGCCAGCCCCCGGGGGTCTGCAGGGCACACGGGACAACGGCAGTGATTCATGTAATTGAACTTGGACCGCAGCAATGGGGCTCGTAACCCATAGAGCTCTGAGGTGTCCTGGGTCACACGTTCATCATGGATAGAGCCACCCTGCCATGCCTGTCGGCTCCCGGGCGGCCTGAGCCCCCGTCTGTGAAGGTCAAGTCCACTGGGCTCCAGGGAGCGAGCTTAGGGCCACCAGCAGAGATGAAGCAGGCCCTCTCCGTGGTCGAGAAGCGGCACACTTTTTGCTGTTTAAACTTATCCAGACCTCCTATCAAATACCCCTCCACGTCATCTCTGCCAGGGAAGTGGCCCTCCTCCTACACAGTGAGAAAGTCTGAACGGAACAAACCTGTCTCCCGCAACACCAAAAATGCCCTTGGATTGCTACTGCAAGCAGCGTTCAAAGCTCATACACTGAGAAATTCTACATAGCGGCAGTAAGCTTCCTCTTTTCGGTGCAGTTGGAAAGGGTAACGCTCTGGCTCATAATGAGCCATATACCCCTCAGGACGGGCTCACAACACCTCCACTCCCTGACTCAGCCGAGCAGGGACTTCCCCACGGGCTTATTTCGCGTCTCCTCTGACCCAAGGTTAGGGTCTGAGACCCGGGGCGCTTTTGCGGTGCCTTATATGGACTTGGAGAAGCAGCGGATCTTTAGCTATAACAGGAGGAAGAGACGGCCGCTCCAAATTAATTAAATTCACCTTTGCGTTTAAGTGTTTGAACGTAAGCCGTGTGTAGATTACCAAAATATGTCCACTGACTTCTCCTTAGGCCCTTCCTCTTCCTGAGCTGATTCTGCGGAGACTGGTGAACGTGTTGTGACCAAGGAGACGTGTTCCCACGTGAAATGCAATTGGCTGCTTCTCCCAGGTGAGGTCCTCCCACAGTCCGGAAGGCAGGGGGCCCCCTGGACGGGGAAGGGGCGTACTCACCATTTCTGTGATTTCTGCAATGTCTTCTCTGTGCTCCCAGCTGGGAAACATGTTGGTGAAGGTCAGGGGCTCCAGACCGGCGTGGATGAGGTAAGACTTGGGGGGCGGCTTCTTGAGGTTTTTTCCTGCGGTCACACAGAAGGCAGATGTCACAGACCCAGCGTGGCCCCGATGGCCCTGGCTTTTCCCCTGTAATTTTTTCCCTGTTTGCATCTCTTGACTTAAGGGTTAAAATGGAAGTTATGCGTTTGTAGCCCCTCCCCGCCACGATGTTTACAAAAAATGTTAATTTCATGCATGTGACTGTGCATGAAATCGCATGGGATCGACCTGACTTTTTGAACTTGCTGAACCCAACAGAACACATCTGGGTCCCTGGATGGGAGAAAAGCAAGCCTCTCTCTGTGGCGTCTGGGTGCGACCGTCCCTCCTGGACTCACCTGTGAAGTATTCCTCTGATTGCCTAACCCAGCCTTGAGTTCGGTGTGAATTACCAGCTAATGGCAGCATTTTACAAGCTACTTTAGCTTAAACATTTGGTGGGAAGTTTATTAAGTTATTTTTTACGAAAGAGCTTTCCAAGAGAAAATCAGCTGTATATATTCAGTAATACTAATCAATGAAATCTTAAAAATTCAGGTAAGAAATTAATCACTGGCATCTTCGTTTTATATAAAAGACCGGACGTTTCAGGTGGATGGTATAGTAGAAGAGCCATGAATTGACTACAGCTCTTCCTTTTTACGGAAAACACTAAACAGAGTAACAGATGACGGAAAGGTTGCCATTGGCCCTCCAGCCCGCTTGGGGGCGCTCTCTGCTCTCCGACGGGGGTGACACTGCGTGTGGACAGTGCCTGGATGGGGCCTGGTGTCCCACAGCATGATTGCATGATTGACCCTGAGTGCAGAAGGGTTTTAACCAGGCCAGGCATCCCACAACTCGGCCGTTAACCTCAAGGGTGACAGGTTATTCGGCCTCATAATATAAAAGAGAAAAATGATATTCACTAGTTTGTTGAAGGGGGGAGGGGCCAGATAGGGGGAGTGGGTTAAAAGGTACAAACTATTAGGTATAAAATCTGCCACCAGGGTATATTGTACAACACGGGGAGTATAGGCCAATATTCTATAATAACTATAAATGGAGTACAGCCTTTAAAAATTGTGAACCACTACATTGTATACCTGTAACATATAATACTCTACATCAACTCTACTTCAATTTAAGAAAGAGAGAAAAATGAAATCTCATTCATGCTGGCAGCTGAGAATGTACTAATCTCACAAGTAATAAGCCTCAAAAGAGTTCAAGGGAAAGCAGTCGGTTTCAGGGCTGTCTGCCGGCTTTATCCAGGCTGCTGGCACCCGTGGAAAGGGAAGCGTGTATCCGGGCCCCCCCGCCGCCGCGGCCTCACCTCGGCAGTACTGCAGCACCGTCTCCATGGCGCTCTTCCGGTCCGAGGCCCAGCGGATGCGGGCGGAGCCGGTGATCTTGTTCTCCACGGGCCACCAGCCCTGCCAGAGGTACACCTCGTGGTGATTGTCAACAAGGAAAAGTGCTGCGAGGGCGGAGCAGAGCAGACGTCTAGTCAGGGGCTCTGCCCCACACCGAACCGACGCCTCCCTCCCTGCCGCCTCGGTCAGTGCGAGAATCCGCTCGGCAGGTAAACTCGGGGCCACAGGGAGGGTGCCCCTGATGTCTTGGCCCTTTGAACGGTGAAGCAGGAGATGCCTCGAGGCAGAGAGATGGCGTTGATGAGGTGGGCTCTTTCCTCCCTCTCCCCCCATTCCTTCCCCCTTTGCCCCTCCTGCAGCCGCCCTCTGGGTCCTGGCCGGTTGAGAAGAGTGGGACAGATGACACACGTGACCCCCCCCAAGGGGTTGTCAGCGCCGCTGATCCCCAAAATGCGTACTGAACGTTGGGGAGTACATCACGCTGGCCCTTGGGTCATCAGTGGTCATGCCCCACGTAGGACTGCTCTGCAGGCGATCTGAGTCCATGGTTCTTTCAGGGAGGAATGGGCTTTGGAAATCGAGTGTTGCCCCCTTTTCCCTTCAGCAGACCGTCAGCCTGACTCTTCCACGTGGTCAAGGGCTCTCACACCCGCCAGCCCAGCTCGCCTGAGTCCTTTCCTAGCCTGCATCTCAGAATTCTGTGATAATCACATGCCTGAAAAGCCCAGCGGAGGCTGCCCCACCTGAGCCGCAGGACGGAGAGGTGGGTAGCAGCCCCTTTTAAGACACCGGCTGATTGATAGTTCCCCAGGATGACCCTGTGACCGCGTGCACCGTCGAGGTTTTAAGGTGGTGATCGGGGCTGCCAGGGTCCGGGAAGTTCCTGGTGCCGCTCCAGGCTCTTGTAATATGAGAGCAGAGATGCCGTGAGGCCGGGGCGGCCGACCTCAGCCTCAACTGTCTCTACTGCCTGGTCTCTGGTGGCTGTGACTGTCCCACGACAAGAGCGCACAGCCTCTGCCTTGAGGTGGCAGTCAAGTGGGTACAGCCCTGACCTTGGAATCAGAAGACACGGGCCTTGGCCCTGCTGTGCAGCATGGCAGACACTGCTCTTTGGCTCACTCCACAGATACTCCCAACCCCCTGCTCCTTGGACTCTTGCAAGGTTCCCTTGCAGCTGGGGGGCGGCCATGGGACAGAGCTCTGGCCAGGGGGATGTAAACGGAAGTCTGCTGGGGGTTTCTGGGAAAGCTTTTGCTTTATCTGGTAAGAGAGAGACATGGCCATCATTATTGCCCTTTTCCCTACTCTTCCTTCTGTTTTGAACAGAAACATGATGGCTGGAGCAGGGGCAGCCACATGGAGACTATGAAGCAGCAAGCTGGAGGGAAGGCTGAGAGAACAGCAGAGACTCATGCCCGACACAGTTGCGCTCAACCTACTCTTAACTGACGAATTTGGGTGAGTTGAGTAACTGAGGGTCAGCTTTTTACACTATAATATGTGACTGATGTCAGCTTCCTTTGGGGGGGGGGGGGGTGTGAGGATTAAATGAGATAATATAAAGATTAAGTGAGATAATATTAAGTGTACTTGGCAAATTAAAAACTGCTTACTAGATGCAAAAGTAAAAAGCCTTTTGGAAGGCGTGCCTTCTGCTGGCTCAGCACGACTACCCCCTTCTGTGGGCCATACCTGGTTGCGGGGCGCTGTACAGGTCTTCCTGCAGGAAGGGCATAGAATTGACCACGGAGGGGTCGCGGGCTGGATACAGGAACTCGGTGGCTGAGAAGTCGCCGGAGGAGCTACTGAGGATGAACAGGCGGGCTGTGAAGTTAAAGTTTCCAGGATCTTTGAAAGAAAAGAGAACAAACGCTAGAGACAAAATATGCACCGAAGTAAAATCCAGGTGGATTGGAGAATTAATGTTTGTGAGACGTGAAATGATCAAAGCATTGTAAAGTGCAAAAAGAGGTGAGGTTTATCTGAACTTGGAGGTGGGGAAGGCCTTCTTAATCATAATTACGAAAGAAGTATAATTCAAGGAGAAGAGATTTATGCATTAACAACATAAAGATGAAAAATTACATTATACAAAAAGCACCCCCAACCAAAGAAAACTAAAAGGCAAGTGACAAGATGGGGAATATGGAAACCTGTTAATATCCTTAGTAGTCTGTAAAGGAAGATAATAATGAAACAATAAATATCTAAAAAGTGTGAAGGCACAAAGAAAACATTCACCTAAACGGAAGTACAGATGGCTAAAAAATACATATAGAAAGCATTTAACATTCTAATTTAAAACATTAAATTATAACAGTGTTTAGATAGTAATTTCTACCATCAATGTTGGCAAACAGGAAAAAGTAATAAACCGAGTGTATGATTGTGCTGTGAAAAGTACACGTCTGTAAACTGCTGGTGAGAGTGGAATTTGGTGCCAGTGTTCTGGGGACACTTGCTGATCTGTAACTGTAAGGCTTTTATACTAACTTCAGCAAAGGAGATCATGTCTAGGAATTTACCTTAACTAGAAATGAATGCAGTTGATTCTTTTGAAAATTATTTGCAACTTTATTATCGTTAGAGGAAAACTGGAAAGAACTCAGCTCTCCAACTATAGGACACAGGCTAAGTAGAGAGTCGCAGATACACTCATGAAATACCCTGCAGCCATTAAAAGTCTAAATATTAAAATAGGATTTGGGAAATTGTTCACAATAAATTAAGGGGAAAAAGCAGGTTGCAAAACAGTGTGGATAAAGAATGCTATCCAAATTTTATTTTAAAAAATAAGTATTTATTGCATAAGGAAATGTTAACTCTGGTTCACATCTTTGAAAGATGTCATTATAAGGATCTTATTTTCTTTCTTAATTTCTTTGTACTTTCAAACATTTCCCATCATCAATATGCAGTACAGTTAACCCCTGAACAACACAGGTCTGAACTGCACACACAGGTCCACTCAATACATGGAGATTTTTCAACAAATATATTGGAAAAATTTTTTGCAGATTTGTGACACTGAAAAAAACCTGCGGACAAACCGAATAGCCTAGAAATATTGAAAAAATAAGAAAATTTAGGTATGTCATGAATGCATCAAATATATGTAGATACTAGCCTGTCCTTAGATAGGCATGAGGTGATAGTTGAAATAAAATGTGTTTGTTTTCTTACTGTTTTATAGCTTCGCTTTCAGACAATTACATTACCGTACAGTATGCCTCTCTCTAATTGGGAAAGCTGTGTATCAGCCTATCATCACGGGTAAGTGATTTTTATAAAAACGTAACAATGTTTCCAGTACTTTATTATGAAGAGGACTGTAACACCGTATGCCATAAAAATTTTATAACTGTTCATTAGTGTATAGGCTGGGCTGCTGTGAAGCAATTGTATCAGGGACACTGGCTGACTGTAAAGTAATCATATTGCTGCTTCTTTGTTACACCTGTATATAGGAATTTCTTTTTCACGTTATCTTTTCTTTTTTGTTGTTTAACATCTTTATTGGAGTATAATTGCTTTACAATGGTGTGTTAGTTTCTGCTTTATAACAAAGTGAATCAGTTATACATATACATAGAGGGAAGAGATACGGGAACATGTGTATGTCTTTTCACTTTTGATGTCTAGTGTTAGTAATACGTATAACATCTATAGTGTTTTGTATCATCTAAGAGAATACTGATGTAGGTACTGACAAATGATTCATTTCGTAAACAGATGATGTAAATTTACGGTATCGATAGATACGATACGGTAAATGTAATTTCTCTTCCTTATGGTTGTCTTAATAACATCTTCTTTTCTCCAGCGTACTTTATGGTAAGAATTACAGTATTTAATACATATAACCTACAAACTGTGTGTTAACTCTTTATGTTCTCGGTAAGGTTCTCGGTCAGCAGTGGGCTGTGAGTAGAGAAGTTTGGTGGGAGTTACAAGTTACATGTGGATTTTCGACTGTGTGTGTGTGTGTGTGTGTGTGTGTGTGCGTGCGTGCGTGCGTGCGGGGTTGGCCCTTAACCCCCATGTTGTTCAAGGGTCAACTGTACTTTAAAAACCTATGTAAAAGTTTGTAAAAGCTGAGAGGCAGTATGGTGGTGCGGTCATGAGGACATCCCACTGTTATCCAACCCGGGCAAGCTGGTTAACCACCCCAGGCCTCAGTTTCCCCATCGGTGACCAGGGCAGCTTGTTGGGTTGTGAGCACTGAGTGAGTGAACGTCCAGCAGGTGTTTAGACAGGGCCTGGCTTGCCTTAACGGCTTAGTAATTGTTAGCTTCTTTCTGACGTTATTCTGCACGTATGTCGATCTGTATCTTGTGTATTTAAAGACAAGACCGACCCACTCTCTCACTTAAACCCCACTATTTCCCTGCACCCTGGGTGCCGGCTACACCGAAAGCGTCTTGTTCCAGAGGTTCACGCTGTGCTCAGCTCGCTTCCTGGAATTCTCCCCCCTCCTTCACTTCTCTCCAAGCCACACCTACACCTCCAAGGCTCCGGTAAGTGCTGTCTTCCATGGAGCCCTGTGTGATTTTTTCCTGGAGGAAGAAATCTTTCTTTTTTAACTCTCCACCTCTGTCACCTGTACCTATTTTCTGACACACACAGCTTTTCCTTGGCATCATGATCAGTCATACGCATTATTTAGCCTCCTTGTCGGCCCCAGAGGAGTCGGCCTGGGTGTAGCTCCCGGTGTGCTGTACAGAGCACGTGTGCGTAAACGCGCACTGAGTGAGCTGGGGCGCCGGGGCCGGGGGTTACCTTGGAGCATGCAGTCGTAGGCCTTCCGGTCTCTCCTCCCCAGAGCGTCCCAGAATCCCAGGGGCTCTGATCCTTCGTCACACTCGTGAATTGTCACTTTGCTGCTACTGTGCAACCCGGCCTCCAGGGGACATCTGCACGGAGAGCGTCCGAGAGTTTGTATCAGGCCCAGAAGTGAGGGCGGCACAAAATTAGATCCCTACTAAATCTGCAGATCGGTTCACCAGCTCGCTCCTACTTTCTAACTAGAACAATTCTTGTAATGAATAAAAACACGCTCTGTAGTATCTGAGTGTGTGCAGCAGGGAGGCGTTGGCTTGGCCCTTAGAGAGAGGAACGTCGGATTACAGAGAAGCCGTGATGAAAACAATCAGTGTTTTTAGATGGCACGTACATACTTCCCGTTCCTCGGCCCGGGGTTGGGTGTGTCGCCTCGCACGGCCCTGGTCCCTAGATCTGTGCGTGACTTCAGGCGGCGGCTCGTCAGTGTTTGTTATTCATTTTGTTTTTTCTCAGGGGTCCAGGGGCGAACCTGATGGGCCTCAGTGCCACGTGAGACGTGGCTGAACCCTGTCTATCATCTAGCTTGCTGGCCCTCAGAATGATGACGGGAGATGAAGCATCTCGCTTCACAGCTGTCCACCAACTGAAAGGTACCCCCCCCACCCCCCCGCCCGCTCTCCACGTGCGCTGGGTCACGTGTGTGCCGTCAGGGGGAAGAGCAGACCCTGACCGCACCGCTTTGGTGCCCAGAGAATGAATTTTTACCAGATGGCACCTGGTGGGATGTGGCCCCGGGAGACTCTTCCTTTCCACCGTACGGGTGTCACCAAGGTCCTCCCAGGTCTCAGCTCGAGGGGGCACTGGGCTCTTTGGCTGCCCGAGATGCCCGTGCTGCCCGGGATGCACAGAGGCACCTGGGCAGGTGGTGGGCGGCACAGCTTCTTCTGGGCTCTCCCCGCCTTCCCCTCCCCAGGGTGGGTCCTCACCTAGCGCTGTCACGGTGTGCTGTCTCTGGGTCGTGGGCACCTGTGGGTGCCTGTCTGGGAAAGGAAGGGACCCCAGCACTCGGGCAGCTGCCTCGGATGCTGGGAAACACACTTGTCCCCGAAGGAGGGGGCATTCCTCAGTCTGACACAGTGGGTGGTCTCCCAGCTGTCTTTGGCTAAATGCCCTTAAACCTTCCACTGCTCTGATACAACCAACTCTGTCCCTAAATATTTGAAATTTGCTCTCTTTAAATAGCCAAGGACTCCAGGTTGCCAATTCAAAAGCCAAATCACACCTTCAGAGAAGCTGCTGGGGGTCCTGTGCCGTTTATGGAGGCAGGTAAGTCCTCAGGAAGCGGGGAGGCCCTCACGGGGGAGAGGTTTGGGCTGGACACGTGTCACATGAACTTGGACCTTCAGGGCCCCTGACCACGTGGGGCTCAGCTTCCCACGTTGAGTCCCCCTGGGCACACGGGGCGTCCACGGGGACCTCAGGATCCTTAGCCTGCACCCAGAAGCCCCTGGGAGAGGTGCTCACACACACAGCACTCACTGTTCCTTGATTTTATTGGCCGCGGTCCTTCCGACCTCCTTCGTGTGGGCCTGGGCTTTGCATCCGTGCCATAGGTAGATGAGGGCTTTGTGGACGTTGAGGACGACCATGGACGTCCTGGACCTCAGGCTGCTGCAGTGACAGGCCACCTCCAGCAAGTTCCCTTCCACGGGCACTTCTCCGCGCACACAGTACAGCCTCCACTCGCCTGCAGGGGGCACCAGTGGCACAGTCAGGGCGTGGCGGCGCGGGGAGGGGGCCTGGAGGGAAGGGGAGCCTGCAGGGCGGCCCACGCCCCGCCTCCTTTCTGTGTCTGGAGGGGCAGGTGGAGGCGAGGCCAGGCTGCGGTCTTACTGAGTCCCAGGAAGCCCATTTTGTTGAGTTACAGTTAGAAGCGGGCTGCCCGGAGTGCACGATGCAGAAAAACCAGTTTTACATAATTTATTTATAAAGATCTAGGTAAGTCATAACAGGCATATTTTTTTTAAGAGGCTCTGAAACTATGATTTCTTTTTTGTTTTTTGGATGCTGGTCAACAAAAATCTCATAAGTTAGAAGAGAAGATCACTGGTTTTTTTTTTCCCCCTCCAGGATCCAGTTTAAGGTCGAGTCATCTTGCGGCCTCCTTTATGCAAAGCTGCTTTCTGAAGGCAACTCCATGATAGGAAGGGGGAGGGAGGCACCCAGGAAGCTGATTTATACGGCAGACATCAGGAGGCCTTCGCTGGTCAGGCCGCAGCTACGTGAAGAGAGAGTTACTCTAAAGCCCACGCCTATAAAAATACCTTCCCGGAGAGGAGAACGGAGTCGAATTCCAGCAGCAAAAGTGACTCACTCTGTGTGTTGTCTTCCTCCTCCTCCCGTCTCCCGGAGTGGACCACCATCCCTCCCTGGAAACACTGCAGAAAACAGGGGGGCTCCTTGCCCTGCAGGACCTGGACCTTCCGATTTAAACACATTACAGTGAGCCACGTGGCCTGGTTTTGCGGAGTCATAAAAATAACACATGCCTGTTGTCGAAAATCTGAACAATACTGAGAAGTACAAATAAAAGCCACTGGTACTACTGTGATTTATCGAGAGCGCTACTACAGTTCTGGCGTGTAGCTTTCCTATAATACAAAGTAGTTTTCAGGTATACATTTTTCCCAAATAGGATCGCCGTTTTTTATGTTGCTTTATCCCCAGATTTTCTTCAGCTGACGTTTTTCTGTCGTCACATAAGATTCTTAACATGAATTTTGATATTTTAATGGTAGTGTTTCACGGTACGGATATAACGTGATTAATTTAAACATGTTTTTAATAAAGAAAAATCTCTCAGCAGTGAGAATGACTAATCACTGACTTAGTGACTCCGGGGAAAGGAACTGTCTCTTGCAGGCTCTGGTCCACTCACAGGGCCTGTCACTCAGCGGCGCCTCTGTCAGCACAACAGTCACGCATCAGCGTGAGACGCAGGAGAGTAACAGGAACGTGCGTAGGGCTGAGTCAGCTGACTCTCACTTTGCCAAGGTATATCCCCTTAAACGAGGAAGTGCTTACTGAGCCTGGCAGTCGGGGAGCGTTGAAAGGTAGGACACATTTCTCACCATGAGTTAACTTATCAATCTCAGGGCCCCTTCCGTGTCATTAAGAGCCATCCTGTGGCAGTGTTTTCTAGTTCTGCAGTGATTTTTCCATCCGTTGGATTGATTGATAGAAAAAATTAAATGCTCCAATTAGATTAAGACTCAAAACTCTAAGGATGATTTTGAGGGCATGATACATATTCGTTCACAGCCTTTACGAGAAAAAAACAAACAGTTGAAATGATCCACTATGAGGAATAAATTAACAACTGTTTGTTTGTCCCTGAAAGCTATTTGGAAAATATAGTCCATAGTAGAACATCTGCATTAGACACTTTTTAGGGAAGAGGATTGGTTCTTAGGAACCTGGAAGGCTGAGTGAGTGTGGATCTATTTCTGGAGAAAATTCCTCTGCTCTCTTTCCTGATGTTAGTTTTAACTATTCATCCAAGATAGTAAAAGGATCTGCACAGGGTGTTATGGCCCCCCAAACCCCAGAGTTAACTCTTAATTACTGGTAATAAAGGAAGGGACAAAACATTAAAAAGAAATGCTTTCAAAACCTTGACTTGGGGTAGTGGTACCTGCCAGGCGTCATGCAGGCCCCAGTGGGGTTATAACGGTGGGAAAGACCAAGACAGACAGAGTCTCTTTCATGCTCACGGGGAAGACAAAGAATAAGTAAGTAAACAAAATGAATGTTGTTTTACGTAGGTATAAGTGCTATGAAAAAATAAAGCAGAGCAAAGGGACAGAGAAGGACAGGAAAATGGGGAGGGATGTGGATAAAACATGGAGGCGACATTCAAACAGAAACCCGAATCGTGTAAGGTTTCAGGGGGAGTGTTCCAGGCCGGGGAATCAGTGCAAAGGCCCTGGGGTGGGGGGGCGGGAAGAGGTGTGTCTAGGAACTGCAAGGAGGTGGGAGTGGCCTGACCAGGTGCAAGAAGAGGGAGGTTGGAGGGGGGTGCAGGGCTGACCCCCGGAGACCCTCGGATGGTAGTCCGAGTGTGATGAAGGACAAGGAGGGGCACCATCTGACGTGTCCTAGAAAAATCACTCAGGCTGCTGTGAGGAACGCAGGTGATGGGCAGACTCGATGTTTACAGCAGTCCCTGATCTCTCCTTAGGATGGGTTTGTGTAAGCGGAATCACTGATCAAAGTGTATGAGCATCTCAAGGTTCCTAAGCCGTGGTTGCTTTCAGGATGGGCATTGCAGTTTACACTTCTCAGTGGAAGCAGGCACGGGTACCCATCCTACAGAATCCCTGCCAGCGCTGGATCTGTTCTTTAAAAATCTCCGCCATTTGAGGCGTGGAAAATGGCATCTGTTTTAGTTCCTTGATGATCAGCCCAGTGGAAACTTAAGGAAAAACCACCCATGGGCTCTCTGCACTTGTTTTGTGGATTTACTATCTGCAGGTGTACTTTAAGGTCATATGGCGAGAGGTCTGCCTTCCTGGTGAGGGGGTGGGGAGATGAAAGATGAGGCAGACCTTGACACCTGGAGAAGCCAGACCAGGACTAAAGGGGCTTTGGACGATACTGTCTTTGTGTTTAGGGGACCAGGCCACACACACTCCGGCTCCCGGAAAGGCCAGCTCCCTCCTTTCCGGCGCATCTGCCTCCAGGACTTACCTGGGCTCCCCTTTCCTCGTCCAGCTGCACCGTCATCAGAGCCGACGTGCCCTTCTCACTCACAGTCGACTGCCGGCCTTGCCAGAAGAAGTAGACACGCTTCTCTTTGCCGGCCACCCTGACCGGGTGCTCGCCCTTCTGCCGACTTCCCACTGCGGGCACACACAAGAGCAGAGTGCGGGGTGAGCAGCAGACAAAGCCCAAGGAGAGCCAGTGCCAGCTCAGGCCTCCAGGCCCTGTGAGGATGAACAGTAAAGGCGCAGCGCTGGAGAGAAAAGTCATTCACAGCTGGAGGGAACGTCCATCGTGGCTTCGGAGGAGAGAGAAACGGCCTTTCTTCTAGCTAACGGATCCTGAGCCTCCAAACTGGAGAAAAACGATCTCCAGGGCCCTCCTGATACCCTAAGACAAACACCTGTCATCCTGGGGGAGGTGGCAGACCATCCAAGTGTGTGACAGAGAAAAGTGGGGACGCCAGAGCAGGGTCAAGGGCTCCCGAAGACACAGACGCATTTTCCACATTACACCATCCTTTGGCAGAAGATCAGCTGGGGGAGAAAAGACACTGCAAACGACTGCTGGGCCAGCTTTAAGCACGAAGGGAAAAATGTAGTCTGCTAAGACTATTCTAGTAAAAAAAACCGCTTTGAAGTCTCCAAGTTGTGTCAGAAAGGGGAGAGAGAAATTGCTGACCTATGGCTTTCACAAAATAATCTGGGATTTAAATGATATCGGCCACCAGGGCTGTAGCCCGGATTAAGGGCTGGTTATCCTCACTGTCTGGGACCTCGCGGGCATTGGATACATGTCAGCAGCACACAGAACACAGACCCCACTGAAGGGCAGTCACGGAAAGTTCTTTGGGCAAGTGGTCGTTTCAGATGGTATTTCAGACCCCAAACTGCAACCTTTAGGAATAGATCTCTCTCCAGATTTCTCTCATTTCTTCATTCAGGAGATATTTACTGAACACCTACTATGTGCCAGGGACTCTTCAGGATACTGGGGCTATGGCGCTGAGCAAGGCAACTTCGGAGGGTGGGAAGTGCCGTGAGGAAAAGACGGGATGTGACACGGGGCGGGGGAGGGCTGCTGCGAGTGCCTGGTGGGGGAAGACCTTTCCGAGGAGGTGCGTGAGCAGAGGCCCGAGTGGCAGCGACCATGGGGCAGAGCCTTCTAGGCCGAGTGGCATCCGGAGACTAAGTTCTCGACTCAGATGCCCGGGTGGCCCCAGGTGGGAGTCAACCCAGGGAGGATGCAGGTGGCTATGGTACCCACGCGTGTTAGCAATCAAAAATAATAACTGGGGCTTCCCTGGTGGTGCAGTGGTTAAGAATCTGCCTGCCAATGCAGGGGACACGGGTTCGAGCCCTGGTCCAGGAAGATACCACATGCCAAGGAGCAATGAAGCCTGTGCACCACAACTATTGAGCCTGTGCTCTAGAGCCCACGAGCCACAACTGCTGAGCCCATGCACCACAACTACTGACCCCACATGCCACAACTACTGAGCCTGTGCTCTACAGCCCATGAGCCACAACTACTGAGCCCGCACACCTAGAGCCCGTGCTCCGCAACAAGAGAAGCCACCGCAACGAGAAGCCCACGCACCACAATGAAGAGTAGCCCCCGCTCACTGCAACTAGAGAAAGCCCGCGTGCAGCAATGAAGATCCAACACAGCCAAAAATAAATAAATTAATTAATTAAAAAAAAAAAAGAACTGGATCCCCTGGTTCTATACGACCTCAGTCCTCCTCAGCTCCAGTCCCACCGACAAAGTCACAGCTGTCTTGAGGTTTGAAGGTAAGAAGAAAGTTCATTGTTTTCAAGTTCTTAAGAGGTCGGGGGCCATACTTTTGTGATTTTTTTTGCGGGGGCCCTTTATCAAAGTCCTCTAGAACAATTTTCACAAATGATTATGAGAATTCTTAAAGGATTCTGACCAAGCTCAGCCCTTAGTGCCTTCTACTGTGAACCTGAAGTGGTCAAGTTTGTGTAGTCTGAAGTGGGCAAAGTGAACAGGAACCATCCATGAATAGATGATACGTGTCCACTGTTAACCTGGAAGCCACTCCATTGAAACTTCCGCTAACTTAGGTAGGAACAAACATTTACCTTTGATTAGCAATCCCGCACTCTCATGTCAACTAGATTACTGGGGAGAGATATGCATGAAACAGATCACAGATCACAGCAGCTGACACGTATCTTGGAATTGGGGAGCACTTTGTGTAAATATACGTTCACGCTTGAATAACCAACCAATGTTTTACATCCTGACATTCAAAAATGGGCTTGTGTGTATATACCTAAAATAGGATATTTCCTTAAAAATATCCCATAAAAGTTTTCATGCATTTTCCTTGCAGTTTTCTTCAGCATACCCCAACTTTAATCCTATGTACAACTTACTTTTTGACTCATTTCTTTCGTTTTAATTTTAGCAAATTAAAGGCTAAGCTATATAGTAACAGCTGCTGGGCTATCATCTTTGCGGCCTGGCCCCGAGGCCGAATTGAGCGTGTCACTGCATCCCGCCGTCCACCCTGCTTTCAAGAGGAAGTTCACCGCCAGCAGCTGCGTTTACGAAGTAACAGAAAACCGAGGTACGAAGAGCGAGCTGCTCTTGGCGCCGTCTTGCAGCCGGACCCCATTTACCGACCCCCTACTACAGGAACTTGGCCCCTGGATGGCGCTCCAGCGTGGCCTGACGCAGTGTCCCTGGGTGCCCAGAGCTGCCTGTCTGCTGACCCTGGGGGGACACGAGTCACACCCTGCAGCGCCTGAGGCAGCCTCTGGGGCAGGACACTGACCACCGGGGCCTCTGGGCTCCCTAGTCTGGGGGCCACAGTTCAGTTCCCAAGAGCAGGCTGCCCGGCATCTGCCGAGAGGGCGACTGCGCCGTGTCCCCCGGGACTGCTGTCTGCTGGGCCCGCCCCAGAGGGGCCCCGGGCTCAGCCCCGTTGGCAGGTGCGGCCCCTGTGGGGTCTGAGCAGCGTGAGGGCTGGACCAGCTGACACCGCGGGGCCGGGGCTTCCGTGACGACCACGGGGCAGCTGCGGATGCCATCGGGCGGCCGGCCTGGAATCTGAGCGCTGCCCGGCCTCACTTAATCCTCCGCAGCTGGGCCTGGTCAAAGCTGTCACTTCGCCCGTTACGGTGCTGCTGGATCAGGCCGTGACGTGTACCTTGTGTTCGCCGGGGAGAAATACAGCAAGCATTTGCCTGGGTCAGATCAGCGCTTCTTAGGGGTCTCCAAGTAAATAGTCAAGGAAGACCTCAGAAACCTGAGATCTGTTTTTAAAATTCATTCATTTTCATATCGTTTTAGTCATCCTTTCACTGACCATTACTTCTTGTTTTATATCTAACAGCTGAGGTAAGGAAACGACTGAATTTCAAACTGTAGTGCCCAGCGTGGTTTTGTAAAACACCAAGTCCCTTCACTTCCTGTATCTTAAGGAGGAGAACGCTGGGTGCAGGTCCACGACACCAAAGGTCAGTAGATCTTTCCCCACTAAATTCTCTCTTATCGTCTTTATTGCCAAGCGGTGCAGCTTCGTACTCAGCTTGCCAACTCTGCACACGCTCAGCAGCCTAAACCCACAACAGAGACCCTCTGAGAAATGCTGTCGTTTGGGGTGGGTCCACGTTATCTGTCCGATCTTCAGGTTCAGTGCAGGAACTATGCTTTGGCTGCTGAGAACGTCAGCGATGATGATTTCCTGTAGCCTCACGTAAGTAAGCGGTCGGCTCTGCGCTAAACATCACGCACCAGATCCTAGGACCCTGCGGGCTGGGTCTTAGAAGCTCTGTTTTCCAGGTGAGGAAACCGAGGCTCAGACAGGTTAAGTCACTTTCCCCAAGTTACACAGCTGGCACGTGGGGCCTGAGAGAAGACTGAGACCCAGGCTATAAGGCCTCCTTGGGTAGAAAAAGGGGCTTTTAGTGTCCAGCCCTGTTCTCTCCTAGCCGTGTGACTGCAGGGGGCGTTCCTTAATCTTGGTGTCCTGTTTCTCTTCTGAGAAGTTAGCGAAAGGACAGAACACATCCCGTGGAGCCTCCGTGAGGCACTCACCTAGCGCGGGTGGTGAAGCCCAGAGCGGTGCCTCTAGGCCCGCGGTCCGCCTCCCCACCTGCGATGCCTGCCCATCAGCCGCTGGGCTTTCCCACAGCCACCAGATCCTATTCAGGGAACGGAGCTCTCCTACCCCAGCAGGAGGCAAGCACCTCTTCCATACTTGCCCCCCGTCATTTATACCATATGCTTCTGGAAGGCAGGGCCAGGAATATTTACTGACACCCAAAAAAAGGGTCTTATTCCTTAAACATAAGACCGTAAAACTCCTAGAAGAGAACACAGGCAAAACATTCTCTGGCATAAATCGTACCAATGTTTTCTTAGGTCAATCTCCCAAGGCAATAGAAATAAAAGCAAAAATAAACAAATGGGACCTAATCAGACTTACAAGCTTTTGCGCAGCAAAGGAAGCCATCAACGAAATGAAAGACAGCTATGGACTGGGAGGAAATATTTGCAAACGATGTGACTGACGAGGGCTTAATTTCCAAAATATACAAAGAGCTCATACAACTCAACAACAACAAAAAATAAGCAACCCAACTGAAAAATGGGCAGAAGACCTAAATAGACATTTCCCCAAAGAAGACATACAGATGGTCAACAGGCACGTGAAAAGATGCCCAACATGGCTAATTATTAGAGAAATGCAAATCAAAACCACAATGAGGTACCAGCTCACACCGGTCAGAATGGCCATCATTAAAACCTCTACAAGTAACAGATGCTGGAGAGGGTGTGGAGAAAAGGGAATCCTCCTACACTGCTGGTGGGAATGTAAATTGATACAGCCACTATGGAGAACAGGATGGAGGTTCCTTAAAAACCTAAAAATAGAATTACCATATGATCCAGCAATCCCACTACTGGGAATATACCTGGACAAAACTATAATTCAAAAAGATACCTGCACCCCAATGTTCATAGCAGCACTATTCACAACAGCCAAGACATGGAAGCACCCTAAGTGTCCACTGATAGATGAATGGATCAAGAAGATGTGGTGTATATGTGTGTGTGTGTGTGTGTATATATATATATATACACACACACACATACATACATACACACATATACATACACACAATGGAGTATTACTCAACCATAAAAAAGAACAAAATCATGCCATTGGCAGCCACATGGATGGACCTAGAGATTACCAAACTAACTGAAGTAAGTCAGACAGAGAAAGACAAATACCATATGATATCACTTATAGGTAGAATCTAAAATACGACACAGATGAACCTATCTATGAAATGGAAACAGACTCACAGACACAGAGAACAGACTTGTGGTTGCCAGGGGGGTGAGGGACGGACTGGGAGGTTGGGGTGAGCAGATGCAAACTAGTATCTATAGGATGGATAAACAACAAGGTCCTACTGCAGAGCGCAGGGGGCTCTATTCAGTATCCAGTGACAGCATATCTACGTATAACTGAGTCACGTCGCTGTGCAGCAGGACCTAACACCACATTGTAAATCAACTATGTTTCAATCAGATACATTTTAAAAGGTGTCTTACCCACAGAGATACATTAGGAAAGAAACCAAATGGCTCTAAGCCTGCAGGTGTTTGATCAGCTAACAGTGGCCTCCGCCCTGTGCCCGGCGGGGCAGCCACACCCGGACGGCAATGCGGCTGGAAAGAGGTGAACAAACTCCCTTGGCAAGTGAATCTCGGAGCCACCGAGTTGTGTCATAAACTGTCTCCTAAATGCGCCGGGCTGAGGGACACTGTGCACAGCCTGATTCGTGCTTTCTTCTTGGCAGGAAAAAGGGATTATTTCTCCCAAATCTGCTGCTGTCCGCCCTCACTGCCTCCAGCGCAGAGCACAGCCGGAGTGTGTTGTTTCGCCACGAAGAGCGCAGCACTCGTGGGAACCACGAGTAGTTCTGACCGTGTCTTTATTCCGCCAGATCCACAGAGCACGGTCAGCGCTCTCGGCCTCAGAGGAAATACGTCTTTCATTCTGAATACGGCTCCTGTGCGTGGATTTACTGTGACGTCATGGCACCCTTTTACTTCAGCTCTGACGCGTCGGCTCTGTGTTACTTAATGGCTTTCATTTCGGCAGCATCCAGCCACGTGGTGACCATCATGTGGGGACAGATCATCACGTTCCTAGGAAACCTCTGGGGACGGGGCAGGGGAGGGGCGAGGGCGGCAGAGAAACCTTAGCACGCCAGGCGGCTTCCTAGAGGGAGACGTCACGTCACAGCTGTCGGCCACGGTGGGGTGTTAGGAATCTATCCACGAGGTTTACGAGGAGGTTCTCAAAGGGAATAGGCCTCGACCGGTCCTCCGCCCGCGGCTGGGGCAGACACGGCGCGCGCTCCGTACCTGGCAGCCACGATCCCCGCACGGGGCTCGAGGGACACGCGAGTGGCTCACTCACCTGCCGTGCTCACGATGAACTTCCACTTGACCACGTAGGCGTCGCCCTCGTGGAACTGCCCAATGCTCTGCTTGGGGAGCCTGCTGTAGTCGAATTCCAGGATGTGCCAGACGTCCACCGACAGGCTGGCGATCTCCAACTGCCTGCGGTCGTCCCCTTGCACCAGGCCGTAGCCCCGGCCCACGTTGACCCCGTCTAGCACGGTGCCGGCTGTCGTCTGGGGCACCGGCACCATCCGCGTCACGTCGTAAGGCTTGACCTCCGCCCGCGGGTCGTCCTAGGAGAGAACGCAGAGATGCTCGGCGGCAGCCTGTCGCACTCCACACTGCTGCACTGGCGGTGGGACGGCCTCAAGTACAGCGCTCAGGCTGTCTCGGGGCACTTAAAGAAAGGCTGCGTTTAGGGGACAGACAGCCACGACTGTGAACGGGCCGCCGATAAACCTGGAGCCGCAAACACGGCTGCTTTCACCTCCTGAAGTCAGAACATGACTGGAGGCCGGTTTGCTGTCCTAGTAAAACCCCAGGAAGGCTTTTAGCATCCAGGCCCCTCTGCCGGGACCCAGACCAAGCCCTGAGGTTGGGGGCCTGATCGTCCCACATACCTTGTGCTGGGCAAGTTCGCTGGCGTTCTTCTCGTTAGGTCTCTTCAGTTCCGTCCAGTCGAGAAATTTCTCTTTGAACAAAATCGTCTCGTTGTGTTCTGTAAGTCTCCCAAATATCGCCCAGTCTGGCCGCCCCTGTCCTTTTCTGTCGGGCGGGTCGGGGAGGGGAGGGGATGGGAAAAGAACCAAGATCAGACAAGTCATGCCGAGCCCGAGAAGTCCAAAACCAACACGTGTGGTGGGTGAGAGGAACGCAGAATACGTAGGCAGTAGACAGAGTGAATGGTTCGCTTTCACTTATGTGGCCCAATCAGTGGCGTTTTGCTATTTTAGCCCAAAGCCTTGCAGGGCTTTGTGTCCTTGGAGCTGATGTGCCTGAATGTGATGTGACCCACGGCAGGACTGGACCTGCCTGGCGTTCCAGCAAATTCTCGTGTTGGGGTCCCCCGGGGGGCAGCACGCTCGGCTGGGAGCTCAGCACAGGCAGGAGTCACACGCGTGTCTTCCTCGCCTCCTTTACGCCACCCGTGCTCACCCGCGGGGGCTCGCCGCGTTTCCGTCAGGTTAGTGAACAGGTGGAGGAATTTATGCTCACCCTGAATCCTATTTTTAAGTCATGTTACAATGGAGATGTCCAGTCTCCAGGAACAGGAAATTCTCCTCTGTTCCCGAAGTGGACATACTCTCGTAAGTCATGAAGCGAATTTGTGCATGTTGATCTCTGGGCCACTGGACGGGACAGCGGGCAGGCAGAGCACAAAGACGGGGAAGGAAGCAGTGTAGCCCAGTCGGGAGGTCCGAACCGCTTCGGGAGCTCAGAGTCTGACGCTGAGCTCGGAACACAGCTCGCTCAGAAATGCGCAGAGCCAAGAAGAGGCGTGCCGAAGGGGGTGAGCCCTGAGGATAAGGTATGGGTATTTCCCATCCTTCCAGACCAACCCTGGCTTGTGGATTGGGACCATCAGACCGAGGGGCAGTGCTTCCTGGGCCGTGCGGTGGCCCCTGACGTGCTTCGTCACGTCCTGTCTGGTCCAGACCACAGTTTCTGGCATCATGGCTAAGGCACATCAAGGGGGGGCTGCCCGTTTCAAAGGGGACTGAAAGGATAAAAGGCACTGTGTGCAAATACTTCCACTGCCAAGGCTCCCGGGACTTAGGAACCAAATACCAGCAACTGTGGAAAATTCAGGGCTACCCTGAAGGCTGTGGTCCTTATCAGAAAATAGCTGAGTGACTGTCTTTTGCATAAATTCCACTCGGCAGACTTGCTAAGGTGCCTATAGAAAGACACTTGGTCTCAGCTTAGCAATGCATCTTGGATGTGTGAGGTCAGGGAGCACAGAGGGCAGGTCTGCAGCAGGAGGGTGTGAAGCTGGACGCTCTCTACCTCCGTCCTGACTTACAGGTCTGAGCTGGGCTAGGTCATGACTCCTCGGTGAAGAAGGGCGGGGTGCTCTACCTTGGCTGTACCTTAAAATCCCTGGGGGAGCTTTTAAGATGTACTGACACACAAACCCCACCCCACCCAAACTGAAAACACAGCTCCTGGGCCAGGACCGGCACATGCATTTTTTTGTTTTAAAGCTTCTCCAGTGCTTCTGACCTGGGAGATGTTGAGAGCCAGCGGGTTAGGTGCCCACTCATCTACCTTCAGATCTCGGATGATGTCACGACTAAATATAAATCGTCCGTCACACAGATTTTATGCTTCAGTGTGTTTTTTTCTACTATACCAACTAGAACATTCTTTTTAGTCTTAGCTTTAGGCCTTACAAAACTAGTTGTTTCAGTACTAATTTTATGTTAAATGTGCACTCGCTTGAAAAGGATTTGAAACCTTTTCACCTACACTGACATCCTTTTGAATTGTTTCTATAATGACAATGAATAATAAAATCAATAATTGTATTTTAAAACAGGAAACTAGGTAGGAAAGTTGAAATCTGTCTGTTAGTTCAACTGAAAACATTACAAAGCAGTTTTAATGTGCCATTTGGCGGCACATCAATTTCTGACCCATTATGTGGCATATGCATAGTTTAAACGCACTTCTCTTTCTTCCTGGTAGTTAAGAAATAAAAAACCAATGATCCTTTGCGTGTAAGAATTCTTGTTTTCATGACCGTATTTCTGAGAGTTTTGTGCATCTTCGGCTGATTTGCCAAAATGACTTTTAAAAGTCCAGTAGACTGTCGGAAATATTACAATTACAGCCATTATTTCAATACCGCATCCTCCCTCCCCCCAAAAGCCATCATCTACTGCCAGATAAATGGAATTCAAGGGCTGGGCTGGGAAGCTGTGAAATCAGAAAGAGACGCATTGCTTTTGCACCTTCAGATCCATGGCTGAACTCCAGGACCTGGCAAGCTTTTCAGGTCAGCAAGTCATTTGTTTAAACAACAGATTATATGTGACAACAGCATCTGAATACTGCAGGTGCCGTCGATTTGCTTCCTTCAAGAACTGAAATATAACAGGAGCATCTTCCAGACGACTACACCATCCATATTTCTGTATTTCTTAGGGAAAAGCTAAAGCACTGTTCTCGTTGTGAATACTCGTGGTACTGCACTGCAATCATTTATGAAAACTAAAACCCCTGAAGGGTGATGCCTAAACACTGCGGTGGGAGCCTTGGCTGCCCAGGGCCCCAGCGGTACCTGGGAATGAGCGGGTTGCACTCTCCAGGGTCCAGGGGGTTGATGTCACAGTTCTCGTAGTCAAAGGTTCCATTCCATAAGTGCTTTGCCAGCTGAAAGGCTATTTTCCGTTGTGCTAATGTGACTTCTTTCCCGTGCCACACATAAACTTCGCTCCCAAAATCAAACACCAGGACCTGGGGAAATGGCACAGAAGAACGTGTTCACTTCAAGGACATGTTCTCGTTGAACCAGGGTCTCTAGTGACCGTGAGTCCAACAGGTGATGATTCAAATGCTAACGGAGCATTCAGTACAAGCACAGCCAAGCCAGCCTCTGCCCTGTGGGGATGAGTTCTGTCTTGTGGTCCTAAATGCCCAAGTTAATGCCCCTCCTCCAACACTCGGGCTGCCCAACACTTCTGATTCCTAACAGCTGTTTAAGCAGGTCTTCCTCCCTGGCCCCGCCCTTCCTTCCTCCTTTCCTCCTTTGTCATTCACTCACTTAGCTCATAAGGGCCGCTTCACATGGCACTGAGGACCCAGTGATGTCTTTTCTCCCCTATGCAATTCTAGGGCCCTCAAGGGCAAAGACCATACTGTACTTATTAATGTATTTACCGTCGGGCTCACTAAGTGTTTGGTGAATGAATACATGACCTCAGTGCTCTTATTTACATACCTGTTGGTTTGTTCTACGCTTTCTTCCTAGAATAATTCCTTTCTTCATTTCCAGCATTCCCAATTTTACTTAACTGCAAACTAGGCTCAATTTCACCTTCTCTTTAAAATCATTCCTGATTATTTCTTTTTCTGTGACATTTTTTCTCCGTTTAAATTTGTCATACAATCAGTCTAGCTTTGGATTACATCCTTTCTGATATCCTTCTACCCAACGAAATTTAAAGTCCTTTTGTGTCTTCCCGTTTTTTTTCTCAACACTCAGAATACTTAGTGGTGGGACTTCCCTGGCAGTCCAGGAGTTAGGACTCCAGCTTCCACTGCCAGGGGCTCGGGTTCGATCCCTGGTCGGGGAACTAAGATCCCCGCAAGCTGAGCAGTGCAGCCAAAAAAAAACAACACCAACAACAAAAAACTTAGTGGTGCTGGAAATATATGTAATTTTGTAAAAATAAATATGTGCTGGTGTGAGAGGAAAAATGAGCATACTACTTGGCAAACCCATACACTATAGATACACCTACTTTTCCTGAAACTTAAGGACTGAAAGATATTTAACGTTCATACAAAAATCAAGAGATGGGGCTAAGTCATATTTCCATCTGGCCTAAAACAGAAAAGCCTTCAATGACCCATGCCTCCTCTGAACAACATTCGGAATACTGTATCAGCATCTAAGATGGCAGTAACGGTTTGAAATCACAAATCGGTAGATAGTCCTTATAAAGATGTCTCTGCATGTACACACTACTATATTTAAAACAGACGATCAACAAGGACCTACTGTATAGCCCAGGGAACTCTGCTCAATATTCTGTAACAACCTAAACGGGAGAAGAATGTGAAAAAGGATACATGTATACGTATAACGGAATCACTTTGCTGTACACCGGGAACTAAAAAAAACACTGTAAATCAACTAGACTCCAATGTAAGATAAAAGTTAATAAAAAGATGTCTGGTGTGCAGTGAGTACCATCCCTGGCTAGCGTCTGTCGGTGCTTACTGCCTGTTTTAGCGGGCAGCCCGGGGCCAAGGGCTTTCCTGCCGAAGGGCAGACCACTCACTGTACCTGTCTTGCCTGCAGGAGGGAGCACTTTGGAACCTTCCCCCAGTAGTCGTCATCAGGAACGAGTTTGTCATCCATTAGTCGGTAAATGCAGTTGGTTTCTATTATGGCCGTTTCATAGAGCTCATCTTCCTTTGGGTCTCCAGCAGCTTTGGGGTAAGAACGGGAAGAGGACATTATGTTTCCCACTGGAGGGAGGCTGGTTTGGAAGAAGGAAGCAGGCGAGGAGGAAAGGTAGGCAAGTCTCATTTTCTGAGATGCAGTAAACGCTTACACTGGTAACTGGTTTGGCCGCCCAGAAGCTTCCAGAAGTCTTTGGCTGCATGAGTGTGTGTGTTAATTCCTTCTTCGATAGTTTGGATATAAGTAGCTCTACAACCAAGTTCCCTCTTGGTCTGAATTAAACTTGCGAGTTCTGAGGCCTAAAAAGAGAGAGGAACACGGTTACCTGGGCAGACGAGCCCATGGTCAGATGGAGGGGCAACACTGAAATCAGAGCAGAGAGACAGCGTGTCTGGAAGGAAAACTTGTGACCACAGGGTCCGGGGGCACTGGTGGTTGGGGACTGTGTAAAAGCCAAGAAAATGTAACGAAAGGACTGGGGGTATCCATTCTTTACGGCAACACCTGTCCATCTTCACATTCAAAAGATCATTCGTGAAGCTTTTTAAGAATACCCGTCCCACTACTCAGCCGTATAAAAGAACACAACCACGCCACCAGCAGCAACACGGATGGACCTAGAGATGATCACACTGAGTGAAGTGAGTCAGACGGACAGAGACAGATACCACATGACATCACTTACAGGCGGAATCTAAAATACGGCACAGATGAACCTCTCTACAAAACAGAAATTAACTCACAGACATAGAGCACAGACTTGTGGTTGCCAAGGGCGAGGGGGCGGGTGGGGGAGGGATGGAGTGGGAGTGTGGGATGAACAGATGCAAACCATCATATAGAGGATGGATGAACAACGAGGTCCTACTGTAGAGCACAGGGAACTATAGTCAACAGCCTGTGATGAACTGTCATGGAAAAGAATATGAAAAAGCATATATATATGTATATATAGATATACACATATATGTGTAACTGAGTCACTTTGCTGTACAGCAGAAATTAACACAACATTGTAAATCAACTCGACTTCAATTAAAAATAAATAAAGGGGAAAAAAACCCCAAAATAAAAACACCCACTCCCTGGTCTTTTCCCACTAAGTCTCATTCAATAGACTCATTCAATAGATCCATAGCAGGACTTCCTAGACACCTAGGATAAACAACTTGGAAGTGATGGGCCAGTTCTTTTTCTCCACAGAAGGAAGGATGAGCCAGAACTTTCAACCTGGAGGCCCAGGTCAGATTCCTTTTAAAACATCCCCCTTAAGCACTTACTAGGAGCTCGTTTCAGAGACCTTCTGGACAATAAACACGCCTGTCCCCCCTCGCTTGAATGAAACATTGGACGCTTAAGAAGCTTTCTAGGGATCTGGCCACTGGAAGAACATTCTACCTGTGTCTAAAGGAGATGCAAAACGAGACCACTTTCGTTCCTCAGATACCGACCTTCGCCTTCTCTATGACGTTGGCAAACTCTCCGACCCACAGGAAGCAGTGGTGGGGGGACAGCACGAGGAAGCAGTCCCCACTGTTGAGGGAAGAAGCGCGAGGTTCCACCAGCCGCGTCTGCACGTGTCTTCTTCCTGAGCACGAGGCACAGGGTCACCGTCTCCCCAGAGACGAGCACTGTCCCGCAGTCCCGGCAGGGCCGACCGGGAAGCACCCGGCGTCCGAAGCATCCCCGCCCCCGACTTCCCATCCTGAACAGCCTCATCCGCTCACGTGAGCTCCCATGACCCGGGGCACCTAGAGGCACAGCCTTGTCGATGACCTTCCCTGGTGGCAGGTTCCCAGAGGTCACCATGTTTCCCAGGACCATTAGCAGTGTCCCTTGACAGCACGTGAATGGATTAATTAAGGTTCCCTCCCCCAGGGACACCAGCAAACACCTCCTTTCCCCTCCCCCACTCATCTCCTGGTCTCTCTCCACTCAGCCCACCTCCTACACTTAAGAGCCTCTGCGGGCCGGGGCAAGGCGAGGGCCTTCAGGGAGCCTCTGCATCCTTGGGAGTTCTTCTCCAAACCGAAAACTTGAGTCTGGAGAGGACTCAGCTCAGAGGGAAGCACTGCCTTGTGCGGCTTCCAACTCCTCCTAAATGGTTTCGATCTTTCCACAATCACACTGATGGTGTAGTCTCTGCGCCACAACGTAGGAACGGAGGCGGGTGGTGTGCACTTTTCACGGGTCTTTTAAATACACTAGAAAGGACAGTGGCCATGCAGACACACCCTGCAAACCCCCAGCGAAGCAGAGGACAGGTAATGCTTTTCTTGAGCATTAATTTACAGCAGTGCTGCCCGAGGCAGCTAAGTGACTGGGGCAGAGCCAGAGCTCCCCTGGTTGTGGGTT